AAGCAACTGCAGCACCAAATTGTTCACACAGCACTTCTAATTAAAGTCTGGGTGATAAAGATGCTCCATGATCCAAGATGAGCTGCAAGGATTCACAGCTGTCCTTTGGGAATCACTGGCCGACAAAATGAATTTGTTTGAGGCTTGGAAAAAATAAGAGGACCTGCAACGGCTGATGATAACTTTTGCATGTGAGTTCCTCCACCACTTGAAAAATTGACACTGCCTGAACACAGCCACAAATCACTTAGAATATTTACTCTGTCTTTCTTTAGGGTGTTCATACAAATAATAAAGCTATGCTTTTCCTTTCCAGTGTTGTCATTTACTTCAGTTATTTAGAGGTCAACATTCAAAAAGTCTGAAGGTTTTTGATCTCATTGGCAACTATGAGATTAAGTATTATCACATGTTTTCAAAAATCTGGATTCAGATATAAAAATTATTTGCAGCTGCAATTCATTACCAAAACCAACTGACTACTTCAAGATCTTTTGCTTTCTTTGTTCTGCATATGTTTCCTCAAATTTAATTTGAGGCTCAATACTGTTAGTACTCTAATCAGTTAGCTGAACAGTTGGAGTGTTGATCATTTTATCATACAATTTTACAGAAAAATATAGGTGATATCACTAAGAGGATATATGGCATCTTTTTGTTCTTAACTGAAGTAAATATCAAAAGTAAGACAATACAGCTGAACTCTAAGCCTATATTAGCAAGTTTGCTCATGGAACCATTCCACTAAATTCCACTGGGGGACACAAAAAATGTGTTCTGTCTTGCAGATACCTTACAGCAGTTCCACAACAAGAAAAATACCTGCTCTGGAAAAGGGATGTTTTTGCTTGCATAATACTGTCTACACTAGGACAATTATGTGTGTCCAGGTGTCACAAGAACTTGTTTATTTGGTAAATAGAGCTTTCAAGCAGCAGGGATAAGCTTCCAAAAGAAACTTCCAAACAGGTCCATAGACCTAACCACTGCATGACAGGCACAGTGCACATTTTTAATTAAAAAAAAAGAAATCTTTAAGAAATGCCTTTTTCTAATATTTCTAAATATTAGAAAAAGTTCTACAGAAGATTTAGTAAGAGACAATATTCAACAGCACAACTGCAAATGACCCTTTAGTCATAGCAGGGAATATTTTTAGATCAATTCAGCTCCAGTGAGGAATTCTCAACTACCTTAAAACCCAAAAGAAATTTACTCTAGAAATGAAAATAAGAGTATATCTCTAAGCTAGGGATATTGGTAAGACAATAAGAAGAGGTTTCTATAAATACACCAGAAGGAAAAAAAAAAAAAAAAAACAGAAATGAAAGTGCAGAACAATTAGCAATGAGGCAAAAGATGAAACCAATGAGGCTGAATTCAATTTATTCCTCACTTATATCCCCCCTGCTCCACAAGGGTTAACTGTAAGTAGAGAGCAAGGTACAGGACCAGGAAAAGAATAGGCTGTCATTTAATCCTCACTCACTTAGTAAGCCATAATATATTAAACAGTTTAAGAGAACACTAGAAATAATGTATGAGTGGACAACATAGATAGCAGCTACACCAAACATGAGTGAAAACCTCAGTTGTGCTGATTGGAAATATCAAACCCCCTCAGAAATTAGTAAGAAATTGACAAAACCTTTCTAAAACTTTCTTCAGTCAAGGTCAGAAAACCAGCTTGGTCATCAATAGGTGATAAAGACTGACATAGCCTTACATGCAACAAACAGATGGGCTCATCTTACATAGGCTAGGATTATTTACCTCATACAGCTTTAGAAAACGTTATGTTGGCAGTGAGATGAAAAGGAAGGATTTTGGTCTGAGACAGCATTGCTTTCACACTGACCTTGCACTCATGCTGACCTTCTCATTTGTGTATCTAATCTCCTATTACAGCCAGCAGAGACCCTGTTCAATTCACAGGATCCCTGCCTGGACACAGGTGCCTGCTGCCACTGGAGATGTCCTAGGGTTTCTCACCATTTCTGTATGATAGCCTGGAAGTGTAGAGATCCCAAAGGTCCTGCGTGATATCTGTCATGCCATACAAATACCCTGGCACATAAAATGGCACATGCTGCCTTTCAACTCTCCATCCCCCATAAGTGCAGGAGCAGGCCCTTGCCCACAAGCAGGCACATATGACAGAGACAGAACATCCAGCTGTCCATCTGGAGCTGGGTTACTGCCCTTCAGCTCTGATCCTGACCACCCACTAGCGATCTTTTTGTATAAATATTTGTTCTGGGTTTTTTTAATGTTGTTTTCTCTCTTATAAATATTCTTATTAACTATGGATTTTGTATTACTTTCACATATCATTTATTCATAACTTAATTGTATTGCATCATTACCTGGTTATACACAGTCTTTCCTATTTATAACCTCAGGTATAATTCTGTTTGTGTACAACTTTGAGAGCACATTTTTTTAGAGGGAAGATTCCCTGAAGTCTTATTTCTTGTTCACAGGGATTAACATGTGAAATAATGTTTAGATAAACTGGAAAAATTTGCATTAGACCAGATTTGAACAATATAGATCTGACACAGAGCTGACTACAGAAGTCTTGTAAGTAATGCAGAAAGCCTCAACAGCAAGCAAAAAGGCAAACATAGCTGCTATCAGGGAGAAGGAGAAGTGTTACAGGCAAACCAGCCTAACCTGAAAACAATACAGGATAAATTACTCTGGAAGTGCATAAGCATACAAAACAGTTAACACCAGATTTTTGTGAAAAAACATGATAAAAGAAGAATTCTGGCAAAATAAAAAAGCCTGGGTAAGAGGAATACAACAAATGAGATACACCTTGTTTATGTGGCCTTTGACTTTGTCCTACCTGATGTTCCTCAAAACATAACCATGGAAATATTTAGATTAAATCACCTGTAGAGATGGTTGCAGAACCAGGTTCATGTGAACCTGAGCATGACTATAGGTGTCACTCAAACTTTAGTGCTGGATCCATTATCTTCCAGTAATTTCATTAATTAAGTTAATGATTTTAAAAAGTCTATACAACAAAAACCACTTTTGAAATAAAATGTTAATCCATGAGGGGTGCATTTAGAAACTTAAATGGCTTCAAAACTCAGAAATGGTAAGAAATAAACACGAAATCAATTAAATGTGTGTAAAATACTTTATAAAGAATAAAATAGAACAAAACAATTTTCAAAAATAAGTTACAAAACAAGTCCAACTGGTTAAGTAGCAGCACAGTACAAAAATACCTACTAGGACCACAGAATGACCAACTATTGTTATGCAAAACAAAAAGATACCAATGTTCCTCTGGAGCAGGAAGTCCATTCTGCCCAGTATTTAGAGCCTCAGTTTCATTGGCACAACCATTACACTTACATCACACTTTAAAAATCATGCACTAAGTCAGAAATATGTCAGAAAATAAAGACAAGCAGATAATATATTCAGATAAAAATGACAGTGAACTATTTTAATATATAATGTCTATCGATACCTCTAGAAAGACATCAGTTGAACAATAATTGATAAAAAACCTCATGTTCACTTGCAACCCAGATAGATGAAGGATGAAAACTGCAAACCATATAGAAATCCATTGCCTGTTACAAGAAGCAGTAGCTTAAAGAATGTAAGATTTTCCTCTTAAACCTCTCAATCAGCTTTCTGAGCTAACTTCTGGAACACATCTCCTTACACTCATAATTCTTCCCCTGCTAGATGTTCCTGCCAGGACAGGATCTCACATGTGAAGTCCAGCAGACCACCTACATCTCCCTGCGCAATATGTAAGGGTTTATCAGCATAGTTTCTGCCAGTGAAGCTGTATTTATACTAGAATATTTTGTCAGTCTTGTGGGCTGAGGAGGAAGGGAGAGGCAGGATTCGTACTTGAATGTGATTTTGTGGTTGTTTATACACAAAGTTCTAGCTGAAAGGGGTACACCAGCATTACCCTCAGGAAGTGGTCATGACTGTGGTGAAGCAAAGAGCAGAAATGGCTTTAAATTGGTTTCAGAAAGAGAGAAAGCAAGACAGAGAATTAACTGCTTAAATGACAATGTCTGTGTCTAATCAAGTATCTAAACCTGAGATAGCTGACATGTGCTCCCTTTGTTGGCAATGGAGATGCTGTCAACTGAGCCCCAGGAGAAATTCATCTCACCCTCATGCAAGACTAAATGAGCAAAATTGACTCCAGTGAACTGCATTCCAGAAGTGGCTGCTTTCTTTAGATTGTGAAAGGAGCCTGGGGTAAAAGTATTTGTTTTAGATGCGCAGAAGTTTGGTGAAATCCCATCCCACAAGTGCAAAGAAAATTAATGAAGAATGCAGAAACCAAAATGGAAAGGAAAAGCTAATAATATTAGAAAAGAAATCAGGAGTGCAGTAAAATTTACTAATAAAATACTAAGGTGAGGAACTATCAGCTAGAACTCAGCAGAATTATCTTTTACCTGATAATGTTGATTTGATAAAAAATATTTACATTTGCAGAGTTTGTTAGTTCTGGCAAGGTCTACAAAACTAAACTAAGAGTCAAGCTTGGAGAAAAACTGTATGATAAAACAAAAATTGAGAAGTTAATTCAAATTTCCATAGTCCTCTATGTCTGTTTTTAATTATCACAATTTAGACTATTACAAGAAAAGGAAAGGACAAAATTCAAGGTCAAATGACATTATTTTGTGAATTATTGAATGGGAAGGTAAATGGAAAACTACGGCTTCTCTGAGAAACAAAATAGCAGCTTAAGCAAATACTCTTATGTACATTTCTTGGTACTTATTGAAGTATGGTTATTGAGTTGTTTCACATGCTATAGTAAATGCTTCACAGAATATTTCAATGTAATTCTTAGCAACAACTGATGATAGTTGAATTTCATAAAACTATGAAAAAATAGTAATGACTAATTTATGAAACTGATGTCAGACTGGAGTTTTTTTCCTTGAATTTAATAAATGTACACAACTTTGTAAAAACTTTCTCAAACTTACCACTGGTGACTCTCAGCACTCCCAGCATCCAGCTGAATAGCCTGTTCAGCTTTAATCTTTCCTGTAAATGGAGCACCATATATTAAAGGATTTATAGTACTCTTCCACGTTTTAGGTGATGCCCAAGAACAAAGCAATCTGATTTACTCCAGCAGCAAAGAAATTGCTTCCTGTTCTTAGAAACATTTAGATGAACAACATAACATCCTGGCTTTACTTCATTTACATAGTCATACACATACATATAAGTATATATCAACTATACATGCAGTTTTAGTATTTTCCTTTAAAATCCAGTTCAGATGCAGTTAAATCAGGGAAGGATTGGACGAGACTGTCAAAGGAGGCTGTCATGTCTGTAAGACTGAAGAGCCTTAAAAGCAGGTCAGACAAGCATCTGTCAGAAGAACCAGCAAAGCCGTTTCAATGCCTTGGGTACAGGAATAAACCAGTTGAAGTTTCTTTCTAGCACAAAGCCTTCCCTTAAGTTCCACTTTTAACTGAATAAAGATGACAGTAGGTGATTTGATCAACCCACGCCCCCAGTAAGAAGTTCAGTTGAGATGCTTGCTGTTTGCAGAGTCTCAGCTGCAACCAATTAAACTGCACTGACATTTCTGTATTGTAAGTTAACTTCATAAAAACAAAGAATAGCATACACAGTCCTCCTACCCAGTGGAATGAAAAATAACCATGAAACTACTGCCAGCTCTCCTGCAGTCTCAAGCCCTCTGCAGCACTTCCAAAAACTGAGATGAAAAGGTTGCCGCCACCCCCACTTCATGAGAATGAGCCAAACTAGGCTGGTTACTCAACACCTAAGACTCACTTTCATTCCATCATTCTTTATCTCTCCCTGGTTTTTGCTATCATTCATCAGCTGTGGTTACATGCAGTTACAGAATCACAGAATCTGCTGAGTTGGAAAGGACTGACAAAGATCATTGAATCCAGTTCCTGGCTTGCACAGGACCACCCCAAAGAGTCACACTATGTGCCTGACAACATTGTCCAAATTCTTCTTGAACTCTGTCAGGCTGGTGCTGTGACCACTTTCCTGGGGAGTCTCTTCCATTGCTCAGTCACACTCCGGTGAATAACCTTTTCCTAATATCCAATTTAAACCGCCCCTAACACGACTTCAATCCATTCCCTTGGGTCCTGTCACTGGCACCACCAAGATCAGTCTGCCCCTCCTCTTCCCCTCACAAGGAAGTTGTAGCTGCAATGAGGTCCCCTCAGTCTTCTCTTCTTCAAGCTGAACAGACCAAGTGACCTCAGCTGCTCCTCATGTGGCTTCCCAACAAGGCCCTTCACCATCCTCATGATGCTCCTTTGAATGCCCCCCAATAGTTCAATGTCTTTTTTACATTGTGTCACCCAAAACTGCACCCCAGCTCAGAGCAGAGCAGGACAATCCCCTCCCTTGCCCAGATGTTGATGCTGTGCCTGATGCCCCCAGGACAGGGTTGGCCCTCCTGGCTGCCAGGGCACTGCTGGCTCAGGTTCGACTTGCCAGGGACCAGGATTCATGGTGCTGCTCTCCAGCATCTCATTGCCCAGCCTGTCCACACATCCAGGGTTGTCCCATCCCAGGTGCAGAATCCAGCACTTTCCTTTGTTGAACTTCATACAGTTGGTGGTTGCCCAGCTCTGTGACTTGTTGAGGTCTCTCTGCAGGTTCTCTCTGCCCTCAAGGGACTCAACAGCTCCTCCCAGTTCTGTATCCTCTGTGAACTCACTCTGTATCCCTTCCTTGCCTGTGTCCAAGTCCTTTATGAAGATGTTGAAGAGCACAGGGCCAAGAATGGAGCCCAGTGGAACCCTTCTAGTGACAGGTCCCCAGTCTGATGTCACCCCATTCACTGTAACCCTTTGTGCCTGACCTGTGAACCACATTATCCCATGATGTGTTTAACCAGCTGTGGGCGGGACATTTTGTCCAGAAAGATCCTGTGAGAGACAGTATCCAAAGCTTTACTGATATTCAAAAATATTGTATCAACTGGTTTCCCTTGATCAGCTAGGTGGGGCACTTTGTTATAAAAGGAAATCATGTTTTATTAGCAGGACCTTCCTCTCATGAAGCTGTGCTGGCTGTGACCAGATGGATTGTCCTCCAGATGATTTTCTATACCTCCCAGAATAATATTCTCCATAACTTTACCAGGCACTGAAGTAAGACTGACAGACCTGTAGTTGCCAGGGTCTTCCTTCCTACCCTTTTTGAAAATCAGGACAATGTCAGCCAGCTTCCAGTCAGCTGGACCTCTCCAGATTGCCAAGACTGCCCCAAAATCACCAGAAGAGGTTTTGAGATGACACCAACTAGTTCTTTGAGGATTGTTGGATGAATCCCATCAGGCCCCATGGATTTTTAGGAAGCCAGATGAAGCAGCAGATCCTACACAATTTCCAGGTTGACTGGGAATTGATAATTCTTGCAGCCATGGTACTCCAGCTCAAGGCACTGATAACCCCTTGCTCCATCATCCGTGTTAAAGACAGAGGCAAAGAATACATTAAACATCTGTGCCTTGTCCATGTCTCCCTTTGTGAGGTGACCACCCTCATCCTGTAATGAGCTAATGTTATTTTTACACTGCCTATTGCCATTAATACATTTGAAAAAAACTCTTTATTGTCCCCCACAGTCCTGGCCAGCTTCAAGTCCAGTCACTGGTAAAAGCAAAGGATCCTGCAACAGAATTTACTGTTTTCATTTACTTTGTGTCATAATCCTCACTGCACTGTAGGATTTATGTACAAAGCCAAGTCTCTACTAAAGCAAAGACAGTATCAATTAAGTTGCTAAGACAGTGCAAGTCTTCAGGAGTATTTAGATGACAAAAGGCTTGAAAAAGGAAGGACCTTGAACAAACTGAGGTTGACCGTGGAATATGTTACAACAGCGTGAAGGCATCACACTGCCTTTAAGGATGACAAAGGACAGCTGAAACTGCTTTGTCAGTGACACTGTCGCTGCCAACACAACAAAAAGTCAATGAGAGGTGTCACAAAAGACAAAAAAACCCAAACTTGGGTTACACTTACAAAACCTGATTTGGTGCAGCAAGGAAGGGGCAATGGAGAGACAAAAGAAAGAGAGAAATACTCTGAGATAAAGGCAAAAAAGATTATTTTAAAAACAGTGCCTTGACTGGAGGAGAGTGGCACAGTATAGAGATGTAGGTTTTAATGTAATAAAAAGAAGACCCAAAATAAAAGGGGAAACAAACTGTTCCTCTAGCCAACATCCATCCAGACAGTGAAAAAAAGGGCAATGATTTTAAAAGCAATCAAAAAAAAAGGTGCTATGATGAAGAAAATTAAAATCTTGTAGAGATTAAATTGTTAAACAAGACACATGGGGAGAGATGTCTGGAAGCAACATCAATTGTCAACACACCGCTTCTGTTTCTGGTCAACAGTTCCTCCAGATTCACAGAGTTTCATCCCCACCATCACCACAAAAGAGACTGCTGATATGCAGGAGTGCTCCTTGACCACAGGAAAGCAGAAAAACAAACCTTGACCCAGCCTCATTTATTTATTCCTCTTGCTTTCCCAAAGATGTAATTAAGAAACTGTGCTAACAACATCTGGGAGTTTCCACATTCTGTATCCATCTGTTTCTCAACAAAATACAGGATTTTAAGGCAATCTGCAGAGACAACAGCCTCCAATCATGACCCATTATACTTCTCTGCCACTGATTTTGGATCTCATTGAGGAAAGAATGAACTGAAGTTACAAACTGTGGTGGTTTACTGCACAAAGCATGATCATTACAGTACAAATGCAAATTTGGATTGCAAATTCCTTATATTGAAAAACTTAACCAAAGTTCAAAGCATGTTTCACTACATTCATATGGCACTCTTCATAAACATTTTTCCTCTTACCATCAGTTACATATTTCCTCTTCTCCTCAGCATCAGTAGTCATCTCAAACAGATCTCCATAAGCACGTGCAAGCCTCCAAAGAAAGTCCACACAGTCTTTGTACTGGAAGTAGACGACAGCTACATAATTAAACTGATCAGAATGTGATTTAAACAGTTTACGTTCACAATGTTTAAAATTAATAACATGCTTAAAGCAAGTATTCAGAAGATGGCATAATTTTTTGTTAATTTTCCATCCTTCTACATGCTACTTTTAGTTCATGTGAGAACCAATTGACCAATCTTCCATGGACAAAAGAGAATACAGCTTTTGGAAACACCTGAGACTGTCTAAAAAGTTATTTTATAAATCAGTTTAAACTTCTTTTAATGTAAACATTTACAAGGTAATTCAGCAAAGCACAACAAATTCCTGAACAAAGTATATGTATTTTCTTCAGGGAAGCCATAAGCACCACACTCACTCACAATATCTCATTTACCTTCCTTGGTATTCCAATACTCAGATGAAAATACAGTCAGAACTAATGCTTGCCAAACCAGAATAAAATGGTAAAATGAATTCAGCACTGCACATGAAACCATCTTTAAATTTTATCTGGAGTTACATATGGGCCCAATAAAGCCAAAGGAAAAATTCACATGGATGGTATTAGAAAGGTATGAGCAGACTAGATGCTCACAGTTTGAGAACAGTAGGTCTGGTTACTACTTACTTCTACAGGATTTTCTCACACAGACAATTCCAAAACCAGTAGAAGTAAGTATAATTTATATTGAAAAAAGCCCATGATTTTTCTTTGTTTTATGGAAGAATTCCTATGTCAAACAAAGCCTCAAAGTTATTGAATTGGAATGGGATACAAAATAGTAGAAATTCTATGTCCACACAACATGAATATTAACACCACTTTGAAATACTACTTTTTGACTGTATTTTAAAAATATGCTTGAAATTTCATAGTCCACTTCTAAGTGCATTTTAAAGCTTGTATTTAGTTCTCAAAAGCAGTGTAAAGTATAAGTTAATAGCAACACAATATTAAGTTTACCCATAATACCTTGTCATCTTTCTCAGTCAGCAGTCTGAAGCCCTCCTTTTTATCATCCTCTGAACCCTTGTGCAAGTTGTCCACCTGCTGTAAAAAATTAAGTAAGTCTTCATCTTCTTCTGATTTCAGCAAGTCATCAGGTGATTTCATACATCTCTTTTCTTCCTCAGAGTCTCCTTCAGAATCAGTATGAGCGGTAAGGTAACTAAAATCACAGAAAATAACAACCATTTTTTTCTTAAGAGAAAAAAAAAGGGCATTGTTAAATTAAAAAGCAAAAATTTCAGAGTACAGTTTATCCCAGTTGTCCAACTTTAAAGGATTTTTTATTAATATCAAGCTTATTGTTATTATTACAAAACCTTTATCTTCAAAGGGATAGCACAGTCATATTCCAAACATAACAGGTAAGTAATTATACTGCTGCCTAATACTCCATTAAAAAAATGCAGATACATATTAGAAACACATGTAGCCTTGTGTTTCAAATGCAGAACACTTGAAATCATTAATGTGTTTTAAGACATGCTCAGTAACCCTGAATAGGCCTCTTCAACTCTTTACCTCAATTTCCCTATTTTTTGAACAAAGAATGAGCTTACTAACCAAAATATAAGTGCTATAACAATAATTTATACAGTATTTTCTTAGCACTTTTAAGATCTAAATACAAGCCAATAAAAATAACACCATCATTATAAATTCCTTATTTCTTCTGAGCATTCTGAAGTTTAGAGTATCTGAACTTCAGAAAAGAGCTTATATTGATTCATGATGCTTAGTGCACAAGTACTCAGCACAAGGCAGTCAAGGGCAAAGAAATATTTACAAAAGCATAAATATCACACAGAGATAAGCAGGTGGCCTTACTGTCCAAAGTGCTGAGAATACATTAGGGTATTCTGATTTCAAAGAGGAGCAGTTGATGGCACTGTTTTTTAAAAAGCAGCCTTTTATTTATGTACTAAAAATGGACAGAGAAGCCTCATCTTCTGCATTTCCACTTTTGAAAATACTGTTCTGGGGAGAAGTAACAATGTAAACCTATCAGCTGCCAGGTTCAAAGATCTTCTAAATGGTTACTTTGAGTACAAATAGCATGGAATGTACTACACACATTAAGTAACTGAATAATCGAAATAGACCATGACAGTTGGAATATAAAAAAATCTATTTCTTTTATCAGAAATATAACTAGGACAGAATGTTAGCAGTCAAAATGAAGGTTATTAATCATGGCTTTCAAATATTCTGTTTTCAATATGTTGCTTTCAGAACAGATGAGTGTATCAGAGCAGATACACTTCCAGCCTGTAAATGAACAAGTACAAATGCTTATGAAGCTACAGAAGTGCCAGATGTGGCATGACAGTTTTGCTGCAAAATTAACACAATGACACCAGAAAGAGGAGTCAAAAATACCTTTGCATAAAACAATATATACACAGACCATGTGTACATGTTCAAACTGAAAAACTTCATTGAGCAGAACAGAGATGGAAAACTTCATATGTTTCTACAGATTTGTTTTACATAATCGTGATGATGCTGAAGTTGATGACATCCTATGCTGTGTCTTGCAGAGACTATATTCAGTCATTGAACATTTATTTTCATTTTCTGAAGCATGCTTAAAACACAGCATATCGTTCTTTCATAGTTATTTTGAAGTGGGCACAGATATATATCGTGGCTGCATTTTTAAGAGCCCAAACTTAATCAAATGTATAAGGGAGTTCCCGGGGAATGGGACAATCTTTTAGCTCCAATACAAAACTCTATGATGTGAAGTATGCTTGGAAAGTATCTTTCCTCACATGACTTAGATGCTCCATTCCCCCTAATTAAAAGATAAATGCACTGAGGATCTGGGCAATTCCCAACCTAAAATAAGGTCACTAGATAATATGAAAGAGCAACAACTAAGCAGTAAAGACAATATCCTTAGTTACAGGAATTTGGGCACTGCATCAAATGCTACCTAATCAGGTAGATATGAAAGCGAGGGACCAGTGTTTGGAAGTCAGAGTTGGTGTTGTATTCTTTACCTCTGCTGCATAAACATCTGCTAAAATCTCTATGATCACTACTGTTCCTGTGTTAGATAACAGATAAAAATGATTATTAGAAAATGCTATTCTCCCAGCAAAAATATAATAGCCAGATGACAAATACAAGGTTGGGCTGACGCCCAAGCCCATCGGGCTGTCTGTCAGTCCAAACAAGCCCAGCAGAGATTTCCAGCAGCATTACATCAAATGTCATGACAAAACACCAAATTGAGGCCAAACATCAAATTCACACGACATCAGGTAAGTCATATATTTATTGGGAGACTCATAGAAAAAGTGTGAAGTAGGTCACTATCTAAAAGACCATGTGAACCCATAAGGAGTTAATTACAAAACAGCAGAGACAGCAGGGTCATGCCTTACCTATTCCCTCTCATCTCCACTGTACTTGCAAATTCTCTCTTACCTCATCTATTTACCTGCTTTATGAACCCTGAATGTATTTAAATGTGGAACAGACCCTCTTAAACATTGAATAGAATGTCATAAATTTCAATTTACTTGTTGGGCAATATCTGCCTTCAACAAAGCAGCTAACAGTCTTATACCGATGCATTCTAAAGCACTGAAATAACAAACAGAAGTGGAGATTCTTCTTAACACAGTTTAAAAACTCCAGGGCTTTAAGGACTGATAACACTACTCCAAAAAGGAAATAAACAGAAAACAAGGAATAGTCATTATTGTTCGTTTTACAAATATTCCATACAACAGAAATCTGCAATTTTAGGTGGTATTTTCCTGCAAGAGGTTTTATCAGGTGATAAAAAGAAAAGTGATTTACAAGTGATAAACACATTGATCAATATTTGAAAAAAATGGAAAAAATGTCCAGAGTCAGTGCCAACTTGTTTTCACCTTTATTACCAATAGATTTAAATAAAAGAGAAAAACAGTGATAAGAATGTGAGGAGCAACGATCAACCAACAGGACTCAGTTGTATCACAATGGACTGTTCAAAGTTCAAAGAACAAATGGAAACTGTGCTGGAGACTCACCCCACCATGGCTAAGCAATAAATCCCAGCACCTAGTACCAGATTAAAACAAGCTACATGGTATGAAACACCCCTGTGGTATGAACACAGTTGGGTTGTTCAAAAACTGTGTTGGGGTGTCTGTAAATTGGCAGACACTGGGCCTAACCAGGTATCATTTGTTCACAACACTTCAGCTTTTAGACAGATCAAATATCATCTCTCATCTCCCTGCCAACTTCTAAGAAAAACACAAGCTGATACAAACACCCTCTCATCTGCTCTGGCTAATTCCACAGAAAGGTGATTTTATGTCACAGATGGATCTGGATCAAATTTGCACTGTATGATTCAGCAAAGTGCACATCCATCAGTAATGATAAGTGGCTTTCAAGGAAAGGTTTGGCAAACTGGATTCTTAAGCCAACTGAAGGTTGCATTTCAAATAAATGAACAGCAAAATAAATTAGAAAATGCTAAGTGAAATGATACTCAGAAGCAGGCAAGGGAAATTTCTTTTCCTGTTGACTAAACTATTTCAAGGAAAAATTATAAATAGAGCATCTGTCAGAAAATAATTTACTGCAGTGAATCTGTCTGATGCCAAATGCAATTTGAAGAGCTTGGATGCTGGGCCAGCTGAAGACGGGTTCCAAAATGACACTGATGTTCAGAGTTCATCACTGCCATATCAGGGAGGAAACAGCTTGAAAATCACAAAGAGGAGAATTCGGTGACACGTTCCATTCCAGGTGACCATCTAGGCACAATTTATTGTATTTGTAAATAACTGAGTGCTTGTTACACATTCTCAAATGTTAAACATCGAAGTTTTCACTAGGACATTATTGGAACTGAAACAAACTTAAAAAAAATAGAATACAGAGAAGCATAGATTAGAAACCAAAGACTCTTTACCATTTAATGTCTCATCCATTCAGGGCACCTTCCATTCTGACTGTCATTATGTAAAAATATAGCTCATTTATTAAAACACATGTGACATTTCTCCACTTACAGAAATACGTAATTTTTGAAAGGCAAAACAGAAAACTTCTCTTCCCAAGGTGTTGAATACCAACAGTGATATTGAGAATATGCCCAGAGCAGATCAAAGCAGTGAGAGTCTTATCAGAGACTGTCAGCTCCCTATATTTAATGAAAAAAACTAGGGTAGTACTAAAAGCTTTTCTGGAAGAAGTTTACAAACCTGAAACCAATGTAGTCATCCAGCACAAATCCATAAAACTCTTCAGATTAGTTTATCTGTCAATTCCCAGTGTCTACCCATTTGTCAATTAAAAACAGAAGTGATTAATTCAAGCAAAATCCTATCTTCTAGATCATGAAATTACTGCTGAGGCAGTGAAACACAATGCACTTTAGATGGGAGTATAGAAAGGTGAAAAAATGTTTTATCACTAACAAAGAGCAAATTTTTTTTTTCCTGTAGTGCCAAAACAAGCACCTGAATGCACTATTGTGTGTGGAATTAGCCACAGAAGAGTATAAAACAGTGCACATGGTGCAATGCCTACAGCATATGAAGCAGTGATGTAGAGTAACTGCAAAAAACTCATGTATTGCTATTGACCCTCCAGACCATACACCAGTCATTAAAGTCACAGAAAACTTCAGAAAAAGCTATATATTGCAACTCTACACATTAGGATTTACAATCTATTTGCAAAAGGAAGCAAAAAAATACTATTTACTTAAAGAAAATCAAATTATCTCAAATTTAGAGAAGATATGAAAAACAAACATATCAAGTCCAATGTGTTAATAGGAAAAAAGCCCACCTCTTTCCATAAGGGATTGAAAAACAGCATTGGGAAAGAACATAGCCAAATGATTAATGCTAACTATAACCTTGAATTATCTTCCTTGTTTCTGACTGTACACAAATACTTGTCAGAGAAGGCCTCTCTTAAGGACACACTCAATGCTCTTGCACACTATAATCACTTGTATTGGAGCACCACATCAGCTTCTTCGTCACACGGAAGAACCTGAACACACAAGTTTCCTTGGCTTGTTTTCAAACAGCAACACATCACTCCTGATCAGGAAACAGGATTTTCTCAAATGCTACCTGTGGAATAACCCCTGCATTGCATCTGTGGACCTGGTAATTTGTAAACTGGTCCCTTTGCCTTATCTGCAGCTCTGAATATTTTATTCATAACATGAAGGCCTATGCAAACCAACCAATGGATGAAATAATCTAAGAAACTAAGAGAACCAAGATGTTTCCACACCAGACGAAGGAGGACTGTCATTGAATACTTATGCTAACCCTGAATACTTAAAATAAAGAACTGGTTCATAATAGAACTGACAAGTCTTAAAATATGGTATCAAAATATAAGACTTGTGAACTCTGTGGGCTGGGATGTAACATAGAAAGAAAGTCTGCTCACAGTAACTGAAAACGAATGTGGAGAAACTGTTAAATATAGAATTCCATTAATATGCAGCATGTTAGCTGTCTCCAGAATATTACAGTTAGTTAAAATACTTTAAAGAGAAAAGGTGATATAAGATGGGCAATTAACAGACATAATGCTGCCTACACGGGCGTGTAAGACATGCTGAGAAGTAGCTCAAAAAACTCAGTTGCTATAAACATAGTATTAGTAAATTGCATGTAAGTATCTAATCTGATTATACCAAAACAAAGTTGTAATTACAGGAGATTAATGTCAAGACAAAAATATAGTGCCTCTCCTGGAACACATCATTCCCCAGCATGTTCCTCAACTCATGAGAATAAAAGACCCCATTAACTATAACGTGACTACAAGATGTGATCAAAACTAGGAACTTTCTACCTGAGTCAGCATCCTAAATTCCTCATGGTCACTTTTTGAGCCACCAAAAAGTGTATACAACAGCTCATACACATAAACATTGCCACTTGTACAGAGGTGCTGCTCAGATGTAGCTTCCACAGTATGCAATGCCTCTAGGCAGAACTCAGTAATAACTAATCTGTGAGGCTGATAAAAAACAATTATCAGGAAAAGCACGTGAGCATACACGTCTGAACAAACTCTGTCGAAGACACTTTGCACTAGAAGAACTTTTAAAATTACACCATTATTCTGAACTTTGCCTCTCATTGCACAGCTATGTAGCAATACTGCATCAGTGTTACCAAACACACTCTTAAAAAGAATCTGTATTATGCTTGGCATTAAGCCAACTTCAGCCATAGTGCAGATTTCAGATGATCACTAAGAGTCTTCTCTGATCTAAAAACTGTTCATCTGAATGTTTGTAATTATTTTTCCAGAAGTATAAAATCTATACTTTTAAAGGGCTCCTTACAAACTTTTTAAGGGCTCCTGTTTACAGTTTCATATAGGTAATGATGCAACTTGCACTGCATGTGTACAGTAGAGTATACAAATTAACTCACCCTCCTTCACTTTCTGCCTCTTCAGAGCTGGTAGTTTCTCTTGCACTAGAAGTTGTCTCTGCTTTTCTTCGCCTTGCTGCTCTGTGTGATGGGCTAACTCTCTGAACGTCACCCTTTCCTTGAAGCTCATTTCGAACAAGCTCTTCAAGTTTTGGAATAGCTTCTTTCAGAAATTCCACCTCTCTCTTCAGTTCGTCCACGCTTAGTAGCAGGTCATTCAATTTTTCTAGTATTTGCAGTTGCCTTCCATGTAAAACCATTACTGCTGCTTGCTCATTAGGAGCCTCATTTGGCAAGCCCACTGAATTAACTCTGTTACCTATATCCTGGAACGCACGAATACGCACAGCTGCACCAGGCTTTCGGATCTTGCGGTAGCAAACCAACACCAGGCTTAATCCAGCGGTCCCTGCCATTATGCCCAGTATTAGTCCTTTATTTTCGAAGGGAGACATTTCTGCACGTTCCTAGAATTGTGAGACAACAATAACAGTTTAAGATGTTTCTCCCTGCTCTACACAAGCGACTTGCTCCGCTCTGAAATCACGAAAACATAAAGCAGGAAGAACTGCAGACACAAAGTTACACTTTTTGCAGATTCCGCAATACGAGGCGGCAAAAACAAGACCAAAGTGGGTTTGGGGATGTGAGGGGCTCCGGCACATGGGCAGGACCGCAGCCTTCACTCTTAACCGTCCCGGCATCCTGGGATTTGTTTCTTTTAATGCGAGAAACTCATATAATCGGATTTTCCGCCACCGCAGAGAGGCGGAAACCCAGCTGTCAGGCCGGAGCGCCGCCCGGAGGGGCGTCACGCCGGTCCCCCAGCCCCACCGCGCCGAGGGCTGCCGGAGCCCCGCGCTCGCCTCCTGCCCACCCCGCAGCCGCCCCAGCCCCGGGCCCAGCCGCCCCGGCAGCGCCGGCCCCGAGCCCAGCGCCGCCCCCGGTACGTACGTACGGCCGGGCCGGGCCGAGCCGAGCCGGGAGCAGCAGCGAGTCCGGCCCAGGAGCCCGCAGCTCTCCCGCCGCGGCACAGGGGGCGGCGATACCCGGATCGAGGGGGCCGGGCCTGGGCCGCACCGCCGGCCGGGCCGCCCGGGTGACGCGCGCTGCCCGGGGGAGGAGGGATTCCCACAGCGCTGGGAATCCCGGCGCGCCGTGCTGCTGCGGGACTCCGGCTGCACCTGCCACGGACATGGCTCGAAACACGCCGTTCTAGAGCAAATGTACCTGTTCGTGTGTCTGTCCTCAGTCTGGTGGCCCCTCGATTTCACCGATTTGACTTTTTGCTACTTCTAGGCTACAGAGAAATTGTGTTTCCACTGCATTGGTGGAGACCTGAAGCTGCAAAATCACGGAGAAACCCCGCCCAGTTGCCAGGAAGACGGGCAGTCCTGGCATAAAAGCTTCATTGCAATTTAAGCCATCTAAGGACCCTAAGGTGATTTCACCGAAGTCCATTATAGATTGCCCAAAGTCTGGAGGAATTTACCACAGCACCATAGAATGGTTTGGGGTGGAAGGGAACCTTAAAGGCCATCTAGTTCCAGTTCCCCTGCCATGGGCAGGGACACTTCCCACTAGAACAGGTTGCTCCAAGCCCCATCCAACTTGGCCATAAACAGTTCCAGGGTTGGGTATCCACAGCTTCCCTGGGCAACCTGTCCCAGTGCCTCACCACCCTCACAGTAAAGCGTTTTTTACTAGTGTCTAATCTAAAGCTATTGTCTTTCAATCTGAACCCACTTCCCCTTGTCCTGTCACTCCATGCTCTTGTAAATGGTATTGCCCCATCTTTCCTCTAAGTTCCTTTCGGGTCCCAGGCCACAATTAGGTCACAACAAAGTCTTCTCTTTTCCAGGTTGAACAATCCCAGTTCTCTCAGCATTTTTCACAGGAGAGGTGCTCCATCCCTCTGATTAACCTGGTTTTCCTCATCTGGACTCATCCCAACAGATGTGTCCTGTGTTGGCGACCCCAGAGCTGGATGCAGCAATGGAGGTGGAATCTCACCAGAGCAGAGTAGAGGGATTTATCAGAGTGTGGGAGGTATTGCTCCTGTGCCCCATCTGAGATCACTTTTACTGGTGACTCTCACAAGACTCTCCTCTGCCCTTTATGACAAAATGATCTGGCTCTTGTTTCTCGCTTGGGATGGAAGAAGGATCACCACAGACAACCTGCTCTGACCATTTGTCTTCCTGAAGGCTTGTGGAGAGCCTGTGCACAACATCCTGTCAAAATTTACAAGCATAAAACTCGTGTTGTTCTGTGTGAGGGCTTGAGGAAACCATAATGGAAATCACTGTGTCTGTGCAATGGAAGAAGCTCTTCAGCAGCTGAAATTGTCCTCACCCATATCAATCAGAAACAAAGGAACACAATTCTTAAAAAACATAATAATTGCCTTTAAAAAGTGAGCAGAGTGCTGTTCAAAACAAAAAAAAAAGTGCCTCAAACAGGTACCAAGAACTCAAGAATTTTCAGTCTTAGTACAAATTAGCAATTGTAAATCAGTCTAATGTCTATTTATCATCAAATAATTTAGTTTAAACCAAATACAGCTCTAAAATAATTCTTCATTAAGATCCTGAGGATGAAATTACCCTTATGAGACCAAGCTACAATCTGAGACAAAGGTAGAAATTTGTTAGAATGAAGAAATGAATACTGTTTTAGTGTTTTGCAGGTTTCCCAGTTACAATATAATAACAAAATGTATAATCTGTTCATATGTTTGTAATTTGAAATTTTTAAACAAAGGATGGAAATCTCTTCAATTTTATAGAAACCTCACTAAACTGAATTATTTTAACAAATTTCACTATAAGTAATGGTTTTAAGATACAAAATCCCTCAGTGTTTTAAAATGGAACAAGAAAACATAAATCTCCATATGCTGATAGTGTTTCAAGTATTCAGGAATGGTAATATAAATGTGTTGGAAAACCTTTAATTTTTGTTTACCCTTTTTTTCAATCTATTATGCCAAAATCTTTCCATGAGCCAATTATAACAGGAAAGGATTTTAAAAAGATAATTAATTTGAGGGCAAACAGAGCACAGAGTTGAAACAAAATATTACAGATGCAAAAGGCTAAGTGATTATTTTTGAAGATTTTCCAAAGTGACTGTCTCAGCCTGCAGGCCTTAGATAAGGAGAACTGTTTTCAAAAATAAAGGCCCAGGAGAACTACCATCTACAGCTGCCTGGATATGTAGCAACTATGAAAATCAGGTCACCTGTCTGGTTCAAAGATGTTATTGCTTATATTTAGAAACTCGCTGGAACACAGCAGCTTTCCAAGCTGGAGAACTAAACAGCAATTTACCTAGATTTGACATAATTCAATTTGCCTAAATATGATATATGTTCTAATAAATGGAAATAAATGTTTTTAGTAAAGTACTACTCTTCTGCATATGAATTTTTCCTAGTTCAAAAAAAAGGTTATACCTGAAGTCCTAAAAAAGAAGTCCAGACAACCATCTGTTATAAAATGGTTAGCCCCAAATATTTTTAGTGTATTTTCAGCCTTATTTCCTAAGAACACAAAGTTTATGCCCCCAGGTTGTCTGTGTGTTGTCCTTCAAGCCATACCATGACACTTTCTCCACTCACTAGCTGCTGAATATGGAGCTTAATTTCAGCCAATTGTGACAGAATATGTCAAGATCATAGAATTGTAGAATCATAGAGTGGTTTGGGTTGGAAGGCATGTTCATGATCATCATATTCCAGCTGTCCTGTGATGGGCAGGGACACCTTTCACTAGAACAGGTTGTTCAGGCTGCATCCAACATGGCCTTGAACACTTCCAGGGATGGGGCATCCACAGCTTCTCTGGGCACCCTGTTCCAGTGCCTCACCTCCTAAGTAAAGAATTGCTTCCTAACATCTAATTGAAATCTCTCTTCTTTTAATCTAAACCTACTTGTTCTATCATTATTTGCCAAAGTAAAAAGCCACTTTCCCTATTTTTTGTAGACTCTTTGAAGTATTGAAGGGCCACTCCAGGTAGTTTCAAGAAGGCCAGCACTTTGGAGTGGCAAGACCTTGTGATCATCCTGCCTCCCTCCACCCCTGGCCCCAGGCAGACACACAGGAATGAACTTAGCACACCAGTGCTGCAACACTGACACGCCTGCACAGGGCACCAGCCTTCTTACAGCACTATTTTTGTAAAACCAGGACAGGCAGTTTACTGGTCTTTTGGGAAATTTTGAACTGGGACAAGATTTTTGTGTCATATTCGAAAAGTTAGGACATTGTTGAGGGATTATGTTCAATGGATCAGAGAGCCATTATATAGTAAGTAATGGATGCATTCTGTTTCCAGACAAGGGAAGCATAATCTACTGGTGCTTTCACTTCTGTTTGGAAGCATTTGTATTTTACTATTTTCATAATTTTCTTTAGCTGTAAGTCTTCTGTCCATTTTCTTTCATTATATGCTGTTCTTTCTGAAATGCCCTTCCCTCCCCCACTCCCAAGAGATTAATCTATTGCTTGTAACAGATACAGAAACCTTTAATGAGCTAGTAACACTTCATACTTATTACTTCACCAGTTGTCTTGTAGGCGTAAAGTCAAATATTGTTAATATGTCACCAAACATTGTGAAAGCTTAAATACCTTTGACCAGACTTGCAACCAGCCTGCCAGAAATCCTGTCTGGATGTCAGAACAGTCAGAAATCACTGTTCTGTCAAGTTTGGTTAAATTCTTCTGAATTTTTTTGCTATAAAAATAAAGTTATATCTTACCTCAAAGGGAAGCACTCACTGTCAGACTTGTCAGTATTCTCTGCTGCTTTTGGCCTGAACAGTTGTCCAGTGCCCCTAGTGAGAAATTAATCAGTTGAAGTTAAAAGGAGATGGGTAATAGCACACTGATCTTTTCTGTTTTTTTGAAATAAAGACATACTGCTTAGCACAGTTCCCTGGGGAGATGAGGCTGCCTCTGCCTTTGTCTCCGTGCATGCAAATGTAACTGTACCTCTCCCTCGTCCCCAGTATTTTTGAATCTTTGGCCAGTCTCAGTCAAATTCAACAGAGAAACTCTAACAAATTTCATTGAGTTAGTTGATCTTTTAAAGAAGAAATTTCTGAATTAGAGTCACGGCTATGGGGAAGATTGCTTATTCTTTGGTGCAAAACTGAGAATCCACACAAGAGAAAAGCATTTTGCAAGGACAGGAAAAGCTAAAGCAGAGCTCACATTTTATCAGATGTGAGCTAACAGAATTACAAGTTATAACCCCATAGGAAACCTGGCTTCGTTAGTTCAACTGCACTCACAATCATCTGTTTATTTATTTATTGTGTTGATAGGATCCAGTGCTGCAATTTCAGCTAAGTACAAATGGTCACTGATGGCATGGCTTTTCAAACAGCAAAAGAAAAAATGTACGTACTGTTCCTGCTTCTTTGTGTCTTCAGGAATCTCAAGGACATTATCAAAATATATTTATACGAGCTCTGTTAATTTTTGTAGGCCAAGGTAGATGATTCCGTTTCCTTGATGTAAGAGATGAGAGTTGGCAGCCCAAAAGAGTTTGCATACGTTGTGTTGACAACAATAGGAAAAAATAAGCAAGGCTACATCCGATGTAATTTCACAGCACTGCCTGATTTCTTCACAAAGAGAAACTGTCCTTGGAGTGCCTGGGTAAAAAGAGGAAAAATATATGAATAGTCATAAATAATATATGTGTATAAAAATATATTTTACGTGTATATGTATATGTTCCTTGGGAGTTAAAACTCAAAAATAATCAAAGTCTTTATAAAGATGTGTGTGTGTGCACGCTGTATTCTACATCACCCACTGTATTTTCTTTTACTGAATGAAAAGTGTCCCTTTTTTCAGCTTCTCTATAAATATGCTATTTCAGAGCATACTGAAGTATTTTAAAGAGCTTTACTGTTTCCACCTGCAAATGACAGCATGCCCCTTCCTGTATTCCAGTAAATATTGCCTGATGGCCCTGGGATGTCTACAATTTCACATTTAAAAAAATCATCATTCAGGTGATGTGGTCTGTTCTTCCATCATTTCTGTCCCTCTTCTCTGCTACC